TTTTTTCAGCCCAGCCATATATTGCGCGTTTCGGAATTCATCCGGCAGTATCGGCGATTTGCGGACGATCTCTCGCCACTGATCTCGTATTTCGAAAAATATGGGCAGCCTCATCTGGCGGAAATTCTCTCGAAAAGCTACGTACATGAGGAGCGTCCACTGCTCACTGACAGACAAATCAATTTCCGATTGTCAGTGGAAGGAAATGTGCCGCATCGACTGTATAATTATGTAGAAAGGAGAGAATTGATCAGAGATTTGGAGGAAGTACTCATCCGGCTTGCATCTCTCGGTAGGAGCTTCGCAAAAGTAATAGCGCAGAAAGTTCAAAAAAAAAAAAATTATATAAAATGATACAATAAAGGTCTACACCAAGAACACATCGGGCCTAAATCATTCAGTAAGGACCTATGTAATGAAAATACAAGTATGAATAATAGAAATTTGAGAACTAAAAAAAATCAGAAATTATTTGGAGTGATATATTTGAGGACTCTATCCACATTAAATTAACAGAGTTTTATGTACAGTAACATAATATACAAAATATGATAGTATATGGCATATCGGAGAGTTTTCTTTCTTCAAAATTTAATCAAAATGGTACTGGTAATCTGATATTAATACTTTGCTACACTGAAAGCTGCCGTTTCATTGTTGCGTTTCTTCCCGCCACTGATGCAGCCACTGAGAGCAAAAGCCATGACATTTAAAATTGTTTGTGAATTAAAATTCCGCCATGTTTTCGAAAACCATTTTCTGGGGATGAGAAGCAGCGGAAAAATAAGTTTACTTATGGAGATATTTTATAATTCATTATAACATATTTTAGCTTTTGATCCTCCGTTATCCTTCTGTTTTGATGCACATATCCTCAAAATGATCTCATTCTTTTGTCGTAAATGGATCAGATTCTCGAAGTGTTTTGCTAACCTCGTGACTTTTATTGCTGTTAACCTCGTTTTGTCAGTTTTTCAACTCCTCTGATTGCAGCTTTGTTCGAGGAGCCACAGATTTCACGATTCAAGATGATCTGTTGCAGATCGGTTTTGGCTTGTCGTTCATGGATTTGCTGGTTGTGGCAAGAGTTGCTTGGCTGCAGAAGTTTTGCGCAGTTGTCCAGCGCTGCTCAGTAGGTGTGTTTCTTTCACCATTCATTCTTCAGTTTTTTCTTTTACAACCCTTTGTTACAGCAGTTGCTTTGGCACGTAATTTTTTTCAGCATATATTTCTCTCTTTCCATGAACAACTGTAAATATGTTTAAAATTAAATGAAACAATT